TATTTTTAAAAATAAAGGTAAAGGTTCCTCTCGCACACATGTGCTAGTCGTTCCTGACTCTAGGGGACGGTGCTCATCTCCGTTTGAAAGCCGAAGAGCCAACGCTGTCCAAAGACGCCTCCGTGGTCATGTGGCCGGCATGACTCAATGCCGAAGGGGCACAGAACGCTGTTCCCTTCCCACCAAAGGTGGTTCCTATTTTTCTACTTGCATTTTACATGCTTTCGAACTGCTAGGTTGGCAGAAGCTGGGACAAGTCACGGGAGTTCACTCTGTTACGCGGCGCTTGGGATTCGAACCGCAGAACCGCCGACCTTTCTGATTTCAGTCTTAGCCACTGAGTCACCACGTCCCTCATTATCTACAAGCAGTCCTTGACTTATGAGCACAACGGGGCCCCAAATGTACGTTGCTAAAGTGAGACATTTCTTAAATGAGTTTTGCACCCGTTGTACAACTTTTCTCGCCACAGGTGTTAAGCGAATCATTGCCCTTGTTAAGTTAGGTCGTTAAGTGAGCCTGGCTTCCCTATCGACTTGGCTTGTCCGAAGGTCGCAAAAAAGGATCGTGTGACCCCAGAACACTCCAACCGCCACAAATACGAGTCAGCTGCCGAGCGCCGGAAGTCGGATCACGTGACCACAAGGATGCTACAATGGTGTTAAGTGTGAAAACGGTCGTAAGTGGTTGTTTTTTTCAGTTCCTTGTCACTTTGAATGGTCACTAAATGAACAGTTGTTAAGCCTGTCGACTAAATCCTCGTGTGCCGATCTCCAGCAATATCCCAACCAGGAACGGTAAAAAATCTTGACATTTTAAACATGTTCTCAATTGCGGAGTTGGCAGTCGGCAGTGGCTTGATTTTAGGCCGTAGAGAAAGCTGACAGTTTAAATTTTAGCACGAACATTTGTGGACACGATTAGAAAACCCCCCAAGGAAAACTTCTCAGTTCCTCTAAGAAAGTGAACAACAGGGGGCCAGAGATTCGGTGTTAGAGCAGACTGAACATGCTTCAGTGCAGAAAAGCCCCATGCTCTGACTTTTGAAAGCAAGGATGGGCGACTGAAGACCTCTTTACGACCTGTGGACTTCAACCCCCAGAATTCCTGAGCCAGCTTCCCTCTTCCCGGATTCACTCAGATGTTTTTAAAACTCACAGCCTGTGCACAGCACACACACTTCCNCCCTCCCCAGCCTTCAAGAGCACTTTGCAGGCCTCCCAAACCCTCTGCACGTCCATTTTGGTGAAGGGGGCGGGGTTTCAGGAGGCCAAAAGTGCTGCATTCAGTGTATAAGACGCACCCAGATTTTCACCCTCTTTTGGGGGGGGGGGAGATGCGTTGTATAGTCCGAAAAATACGGTACTTTTCGTAAGATGGGCAGCCATGAACACCAACAGCATTGACAAAAATCCTCATCAGTCAATTGCAAAAGGCATTTGCTACTCGGCACAGCATACAACCCACGGCAACACCTTTAACACCTCCACATCCCTCTATCCCAGGCTCCTTCAAAAAGATTTGATAGGCGGACAAAAATGCCAAATCTAATGTTGGGAATTTAAAATGTTAATGATTGGAGAAGGGGAATTTGCGCGATATCTTTTGGGAAAGAAGAAATAGGGTAAACAACTGGAAAAACCTTTTTAAAAAGTAAGAAGAAATACAGGGTGTTCAGTGACGTTAACTATGTGTAAACATTGAATAAGCAATGATAAAGAATTAAGTAAAGAGAATAATGTTGTTGAAGCCGGAATAGCTAAGATGTTGTGGTAAATGATTAAGTTGAGATGAATTAGCAATAATTGAAGATTTTTCTTAAAAAGGTGCCTAGCAATGATAAGTAAGACTAAACAAATCGATGGAAAAAGACAAAGGATTATATAAAAGAGATAAATACTGATAAAAGTGGGGAGATTAGAATACAATAAAACTATGATTATAAATGCGATGTATAAGATGTGGCCTGGTAAACACTCTGTCCATAAAGTATGTATGTTAGAAAAAGAAAAATTCAAGAAAACTTGTAAAAAAAAAAGCCAAATCCAGTCTGAACATCTGGCTGATCACAACAATCAGGAATCACAAAAGGCAGTTTTACTCTGAACAGCTTCCATCCAGCCTTTAAAACAGCATCCATTCTTTCACAACATCACACACAAAAAACCTCTTTCCTATCTCAGGTCCTTGGGAAGGACGCGGGAGGGGGATAAAAATGCCAAATCTGGTCTAAAACATCGGCCGGCCGGCAGTAATGAAATAAAACATACGGGGGTGTCTTACCTGGATTTTTATGGGCCAGGTGAAGTTGCTGACGTAGACAAAGAAAGTGATGTTGGGATTGTTGCGGAAATCAAATTTCTCGTTGGAGAAGCTGTCCTTATATTCCTTGACTTGATTCTTGGAAACCACTGGAATCTCCTCTCCGGCCTGTGTACCAGCTTTGGAGAAATTTTAAATTTAAAAAAAAAAGGAAATTAGAAAGGACACTAATGTCAGGACCTTTGGAGATAATAGATTGAAACTGACATTCAATCCCAGTGATCCCCATTGACAGCTATTGACCCGGTCACATCTATTAAACTTCGTCAACCATTGGAGGTTGCTGGCTGAGTGAGCAATCAGGACCGTTACCTGCAGAAAAGCCAAATTATCTACAAGTAAAGGTAAAGGTTCCCCTCGCACATCTGTGCCAGTCGTTCCTGACTCTAGGGGGCGCTGCTCATCNGGTTGCAGGAACTGGGTATGTCTAGTTTAATGGAAAGAAGGACCAGGGGAGACATGATAGCATCTTCCAGTATTTGAGGGGCTGTCACAGAGGGTGATTTAATCTGCTTTATAGCTTCATCTACACTTAGAAGAAATTGCATTGTTTCATCTCCATAGGAGAGCTCCTAAAATGCAAGGGAACAGCCTGGATGTGCTGTGATTGTCAAGATACGGAAGTTGTTGAGTGCACCGTAAACTAGGGCTAAGGGAACTAGCTATGGTTAGCCTAAGGAAGAGAAGGACTAGGGGGGACTTGATAGCAGAGTTCCAATCTCTCAGGGGTTGCCCCAAAGAAGGGGGAGTCAAGCAGGGATGAACTCTAGCAGATTCTGGAGAACCGGTAGCAGAAATTTTGAGTAGTTCGGAGAACCGGCCAATGCCACCTCTGGCTGGCCCCAGAGTGGGGAGGGAATAGGAGATTTTGCAGTATCCTTCCCCTGCCACGCCCACCAAGCCACGCCCACCAAGCCACGCCCACAGAACCTGTAGTAAAAAAAAAAATGAATTTCACCACTTGAATTTCAAGCTATTGTCCAAAACACCTGAAGAAGTCAGGATGAGAAGCAACGGGTGGAAACTCACCAAGGAGAGAAGCAACCTGGAACTCAGAAAGAACAGTGGGGGGAAATTAACCGGTGGAACAGCTTGCCACTAGAAGCTATGGGTACTCCAACAACGGAAGTTTTTAAGAAGAGATCGGACAACCGCTTGTCTGGAATGGTAGAGGAACTGTGATGGCTAATCTTTTTCTAAAGGTGTGCCAAAATTGTGCATGTGCCCTGACCCACAATGCAATGCGCCCCACCACCTGCTCGTGCGTGCGCAACCCCACCCACCGGGGGGGGGGAGTTTTCACCCTCTTCAGGCTCCGGAGGCTTTCCTAAAGCCCGGGGAGGGTGAAAAATGGGCCCCAATGGGGCCAACCGGAAGGCTGAAAATCAGCAGGCCGCGCCGGATATGAGGGCCGGTGTGCCAGCAAATATGGCTCAAGTGGCACATGCGTGCCATAGATTGTCCATCCCGGGTAGAGGGTTTCCTGCTTGAGCCCTGGGGTTGGACTAAAAGACCTCCAAGGTCCCTTCCAACTCTGTTGTTCTGTGATCAGTCTGGAGTGGCTGGGAGATGTGGTCCCATCCTCCCCCCACCCACCAGGGTATCAAAGGTGCCTGTGAATTAGGAAGGAGCCAAGGTGGCACAGTGGTTAGAGTGCAGTACTGAAGGCCACTTCAGCTGACTGTTAGCTGCAGTTCGGCAGTTCAAATCTCACCGGCTCAGGGTTGACTCAGCCTTCCATCCTTCCGAGGTGGGT